AATCGATCCATTTTCAGGATCCACACTTCCTTTCCAGTAGCGGGGTCAGCGCGTTCAGTAGTGGGCGCTAGCGGTGTCGATCTCGAGCCACGAAATCGACCTCAGATGGTAAATTCGGAAGTCAGGCGCAGAGATCCTTGATACACTTATGCCAGGTTTATCTCGGTCATCATCGAGATCGAGCAAAGAATAGCTACCTCTGAATCTTTCTTTCCTTTCAGGCGGCATTCAGGACATACGAAAGAACTATCTCAACTGTCAGTCTCCATGCTGAGAAATAACGAATCGATCATGATGGATCTTCTAATAGGGGAGTTCTGGAGTTTATCCGAACTCGTTAATCGAATGATTCTTTTGAGAAATCTCACGATCTCATATTTTTGTCACTAAATATGATTCATGACCATATGTGAGGGTGGAAGTAAAAACCGACTTGAATTCGGTGACCTTAGTTAGAAGACATAAACCGCGTCTGTTATGATGGTGTGGCAGAACTGGCGAATCACTCCATTTGCTATGAGGATTTGTCGCTTGTTCAATTCGTCCCATTCTCTGTCACTTTTAAAAGTGATACCGAGGTATTTTAACTTCTCTATCTGTCCTCAGTGTGGTCCCACCTACATACAAGGCACACCGACAGTGGATCGAGAGACCAGAGCTGTCTCTGATTTAGTCATATTTATCCGCATTCCGACCAACTTGCATCTAAATGCAAACCAGTTGAGTGTGTCATGTACTTCCTTTTCGGAAGAAGTCATCACGAAAAGGCCCGTCTGCATATAGAAGACTTCTGACTTGCCCTCCCCCCTTTTCGCCTTCACTAAGTCAGACTATTATGTTCACGTAGAAGATGAATTGAAGTGGTGAAAAAAGCAATTTAGATGCAGTACAGAGCAGTCGGTGACAAGGGGTATACTTGAATATTTAATTTAGCAATTATACATGATAATTCGCTTGCCAGTACATATTCCATAAATCCAACCCTATGTTTGTGTGAAAAGCGGGCAACCATCGAAAT